CAGGTCAGGGCTATTCTCTACAAATGGCTCATTTCCATGTGGAAAGCTTTTGGGACCTCTTTCAATTGTCAGATGAGCTATGAAGTTTTGAACAGTATTAGTCTTTCATGAGGAATGATAATGAAAACTAGTCACCAAGTATGGTTAAGGGAAAGGCTTTGCATCTGAGAAGAAGGATGGTAGGAATTAAGTGAAATAAAACCTCACGATTTGTATAAATTAACTTTTTAGTGGGGTGTTAATGGTCCAGAGCACAGAAAGTGAGGTGATGGCAGGTACCCCCCATACCAAGGCCCAGAAGAGCATGGTTGACTGAAAACGAGTTTTCAAATCAATGTTAACTGATTAACTGAATACTTCATTCAAATGGCACATCAAAAAACTTCTTAAATTAGATAAAGCATCACACACTAAAGTCAGACAACATAAAACATATAGAAACATTAATTTAAAATTTTTCTTTTTTGTGCTTCTCTATATTTTCTAAAATGTTTTACCATACATTTTAATCAGCGGAAAATGTAATTAAAAGGAGCCAAATCAATCCTCAGTGGGGCATCAGAGCTCTTGGCAATAAACAGCCCTGCTTGGCCGCTTCCGGCCAGTCTCCCGCCAGGTGCAGCGGGGTGGTCAGCAGAGGAGCTCAGACTGTGGGATGGGCTCTCCCACGTGAGCCCCTGGTCCTGGTCCAGCTCAGATAGAAACACTGGAGATGTCCGGGGTGGGAGAGCAGTATGGCTGCCAAGCACAGAGGAAGCACATTTCCTGAAGGAGAGGTTGTGCCCCACCTTCAAGAACTGTCAGCTCAGTAAGGTCGAAGGCCCAGACGGGCAATCACATCACCTCTGCCTACTTTCCAGCTCTTCCTGAACCAGCCTGTGACCTTGGACAAGCTCTTCAACTGCCCCTGACTCTGCTTCCAGTTCCATGCAAAAGAACAGCAGTAAGTCTCTTTTGAGAATTAATTGGGACAGTAACACAGCATATGGCCTGATGTAGTAGGTGCTCAATTAACATTAGCTCTCCATGCAAATGAGTTACTCAGTCCCTAACCACTCCTGAGAAAGTATAAACCAAGGGGCATCTAACTCCCTGAGGCCATCTACACACTGTGTGGTGGGGGAGTGTGGCAGTGGCAGAGTCCTGCCCATTCTATGTGCCCATGGCAGAAAGAGAGATGGCCCAGAAGTGTGCTGGGGGAGAGGAATCTGTCTGAG